CAATAACAGGCTGAATTTTAATCTGAATTGTGGAAACCACAAACCCCTTGCTGCTGCACAACCATTTTCAGGAGCTGCCATAAAAGAAGACAATCACTTGCATCACTGCCATGCGGATTAGCCTTATATATGTCAGAATTCAAAATGTGATCAATTTGACGTTGAATGTACAGACCCACTGAATGCGGCGGAGTTACACCCGGAATCAAAGGACCTAAAAGGCATCCTGATTTACAAATTGGATAAAGCTCTTCTTTATCAAAACAAGGAGAAATTCAAAAGAATTTTTTATCTAATATCAGTTACAAAAACAAATCTTGTTAAAAATGTGCTTTGAACCAATGGCTGTGTTAAAGTTAAGAGAACAAACCGTGGAACGTTTCAACTGTTTCTATGATACGTTTTGTTTCCGAATCAGTAACAAACGATTTCAAATCACAAAGCTCCACGACTGTTGTAGAGCTTCCAGGGTTAACCACAACAACTTTTCCACCAACTCCAAATCTAGCAAACGCATGAGCTGCACGAAATTTAAGCGGCTCTAAAAACAGAGGAAAGAGACGAATTCAGTTTGAAAAGTGAAAATACTACATCTATGATGCAAGCAGTTTGAAAAAACCTTTTGAAGACGATTCAATGCTCAAGTGATCACTGTCTTCCTCTTGGTCGTATCGACTTCCATGATCGCTTAGTCTAAATAATGAAGAACTGAAAACGAGTTGCAACAAAAGTTAGCTTCATAAAAGCACAAAAAACCGCAAAAAGCGTCCAAAAGACAGAAAATCCCCATGCAAGAAGTAACATATAACTTATGCAAAGCAGCACTATTAGGACAAATTCTGACCAGCAGTTCCTAAGTTAACAAAAACAGCTGCTAACGTCTACAAACATATACGTAATAAGATTTCAACTGAGACTACTATACCGACTTGTTAAATAAAACAACCCAAGTTGCTTTGCACGAACGTTTCATGATAAATGTTAAATTTCCCAGAGGTTGAAAAATAACTTACGATGCGAGTCTAGATCTATGTATGTTTGCCGAAGCCAAAAAAGTCCTATGAATAGAAAAATTACAGTATTGCAAAAACCCTTAAAAAGCAAACTCAGGCCTTACAGCTCACAAAACTGTTTTATACAAAAGAGTAAATTAAAAAAAGAGATAAATTTCCCAAAATTAAAATTTTAAGTATTTTGAAAAAGTCTAAAGCAATTGTTAAAATATTTTTCAAGTTTTACATAATGCTACCAATTCAATTAAAGGTATATTTGAAACACATAAGCTTTTCTTAGGAATCAAATGTTAGCAAAAACAATAATTACTACGGCACATCAATGGTTCTGTACCGAAGAAAGACAACGTGCAGAGATAGCCATACACAAAAGCTACATTATTCTTTTAAAGAAAATAGAAAGAAAAAAGTGGGAAACTCTGTAAGCAAGTCTCAAGTAATACTCATAAATCCTTCATGAAAATTCACCTGCTCTCCGGAGTCTCTCTGTCGTCACTAAACAGTTGCTTTTGCGTCTTTTCGTATGCTTTCATATGATAAGCTGAGCGTCTTGCTATATACTCTTCTTGTGTATGCTTGCAAATCTTCAAAAGATTATGTCAGTTAAATCGTTTTTGAAAAGTGGTGAAATCGTCATCAGCTGAGAGAAACGTAAAAAAGTGAATGAAGAAAACAAACCTTCCACAATGCTACTTCTGCTGAATCTCCTTCGCAGGAATATTTGAAAAATTCTCGGTTGAAACGATTGTGAAACTCTTCAACTGGTGTAAAATAACGGTTATAAAGCATAAAGTAAAACAAATACGCTGCTTTCTCAATCGGTGGCAGATGAAAATAGCCTGGTGGTGGTGGTGATTTGAACAAGATTGACTGCACTTTGCTCTAAAAAGCTCTGAACGAGTCAAAGAAAAGCAGAAAAAACCAAAATTCTCAACTAAGATTTCGTCTACCCGGCACTTCGAGAAATAACAAAAACCTTCTACAGTTGCTTCAATACGTAACAAAGCCCTCACTTATACCACTTCATTATTCCACGCAAACAGTGCCCTACGTATCCAAATAAATGAATGATTAAATAAATGAATAAATGAATAAACGAGTGGATAAAGCCGCATAATCCCGCCAGATTAAGAGCAGATAAGCAGAACGTGATGCTAAGTAAGAAATGATG